ATATTATTATATAATTTATACTGAAAAGCGTACTATTTTTACTCGAACGTACCAACGAACAATTCATTTGAATCGATTACTTGCATTCTCGTTCGATGTCCGAGAAACATTCCCGACGTGCACAAAATAATTTAAGAATAATATTTGGATGCAAATGTTCGATCTCGAAAAAGCATAAACGATCGATACACGTTTTTACTATGACGGCAGCCTATCAGATTAAAAGGCATTAAGAGTTCGGCACGGAAATTCACTTATTCGGGACCGACGAAGTATGTGATCGTCAAGAAAAATCGACTTGCTACGAATATCCAGCAGGTCGATGTTCGCATAGTTTTGTGGGCGTATCGTGTAAATAGTCGACCGAACTACATATACGATATCGACTTTCGAAGATTCAGTTGAGCATCGGGTTTGACGATTTCACTTTGTTTAGCTTCTTTTTAACACACGGAATAACCAAACCAGTCAAAATAACTGGTTCGAGATCTTTTATTTCGCGATTGTTGCTGTTATCAAGATTTTTTTTCGCAAGACGTTTTCGCAAGGCAAAATAAATTGTCCATCTTTAGTGATCCACGCTTGACTGGTGTCAAGGCGTTGTCATTAAAAAGCTTTCAGAACAACGCACAAGCAGCGAAACGTTTGCCTATTTAAACGCAATTAATTGTCTGTAAATTATCCACACGTGGGTTTCTTGATATCTTCGTTCGAAGAATAACAAAACACGTTCGCTATTGTTCAGCAGTTTATAGAAACCTGCGAATTGTTAAACCAAAACAACTATCTTCCAACCTTTATTATCTTAGTAGCTAATTATTTCTATTAAAAATAGTACAATCGTAATTAACTCCAATTATTCTTCACAGCTTCTCGAATTCATAATGAGTAGGACTAGATGGATAGATGTGCTCCCAAATTAAATTGATATTTGTTTAGATATTATCTTACTAGCTAATTATTATCTTACTACTCTAATTAGTGAAAAAGAAGAAAATGTGTAGTGGAGTGAGTGCAGTGGGAAAGAAGAGGAAAGAACCAATTGTATATAATATTGTAAACATTGTAAAAATTGATAAAATATACAAAATAAAATTATATAAAAATTCACAAAAATATATAAAATAATATTGCACGAGCATGGTTTATTATCAGAGACCATGCTCAACATAAAATTACAAAAATATATTCGATCACACGAATAAAATAAAACTGTAAGAGCACGGGTTATCAATAAAAATTGTAAAAATTATAAAAATTGTAAAACTAATTGTACACAATCACATGAAATATATATATATATATATATATATATATATATATATATATATATATATATATTTATATTTATATTTAAATCATTAATGAATTAATAAAAAGAGATCACCAGAATTACGCTCTAGCTGTGTTCCACCATGTCTCGCAGCCACGAACTAAGGGTAAAGCTACGAGCAATCGTCTCAGCGGAGTGGGGATATGAGAAAAGAAAGAGCGAAGTGTTTACATTTTCATGCCATCCTTCCTCTCTCAATCGCACACATCGCCGTTACATGCCAATCGTCCGATGGTCATTCTATTTCGTTCAATCTCAACGTTTTATCCTACAGTCGATCTCTGTCACTCTTTCTATTTCTTGCAGAAATTACTTCATGGTCATCTTTTTTCTTGTCAGACTTCTTCGTGTGCGTGGCGCACTCTTTTTTACATTTTAGTAACGATAATCGCTTCTTACCAAATGATAAGCGCATTTCGTCTTCCCATAAAGTCCCCAAAAAGATACATGAAAAGGACAACAGTTAAAAAATTCGCCGGTAATCTTTTACTCTGTACTGTAACCAGCCTCGAGAATGACAACATTTTCAGCTACCGAGGAACTGCCAATTGCCGTGCTTTCTTACGCATTTAAATCATTAAAGGGAGCTGATTAATGCGTGCCGTCGATCGAACAAAAGATACAAGTTTATTTGCGTCGAAGCCCGGCCGCATTCAATTGCAGGTGCAATTTGATCGCGATCCGAATATATAGTGGCGCGAACAATAATTGGCTTTCGATTATGATATATGGAACAAAATAATTCGAACGAAATTGAACCGGTTGCCAGACTGCTCCAATGTCATGACTCATCCTTGATTCAAAAGTTAATCTGAGGATAACCGAAGCTCCGGTTAATATTATCATCGTTGTGAACAAATACCGACACCCCCCACCCCTCCCCTCCCCCCC